CTGCGAACGATTGTCTCGGTGACAGCGTTGACTCCTGACTGGTTGCATGCAAGGCTCGCGCACATCGGCATCGACACGATTAAGATCTTGGCGAAGCATGAAGTTGCTGTTGGGCTCGACATCACGCCGTTGACCGGAGCAGACCCGCCGTGTGTCTCATGCGTCAGAGAAAAGCTGGCGCGGCACACCTTCCCCGACAAGGGCTCGGACGCCAAGAAGGCACTGGCTGTCGTGCATATTGACTTGTGCTGGCCATTTCAGGTGGCTGGCAACGATGGCAGCTTGTACTTCCTGCTGCTGAAGGATCACCATGCTCGGTTCGTATGGGCAATGCCGGTCGCTAAGAAGAGCGGCGTGCTGCTGGAGTTCCAGAAGTGGCTGGTGTCGGTGGAACGGCAGACGAAGAAGTCGGTGCTGTCACTTCGCTCTGATCGAGGAGGGGAGTTCCTCGGGAAGGCGTTCATCGACTTCGTCGACGGGAAGGGCATCGTCCACGACCTAACATGCCCCTACACTCCGCAGCAGAATGGCATGGCTGAGCGGGAGATGCGCACGGTCGTCGAGGCCGTGCGAACGATGCTGTTGCACATGGGCGTGCAACACCACTGGTGGCACCTTGCTCTACGACAGGCTGTCTGGGTGCACAGCTGCTTGGAGCGGTCGACGAAGCCGCCGGGGACGACTCCGTACCAGCTGCTGACCAGGAAGAAGCCCGACCTTACGCTGGCGCGGGTGTGGGGCTGCATGGTGCAGTTCATGGTTCCCCAGCAGCAGCGCGGTAGTAAGCTGGCGCCGAAGGCTCGCTGGGGGCTTCATCTGGGTGTGTCGTCGGAGAGCAAGGGCTAGGAGGTGCTCGACCTGGCCGACAACAAGGTGGTCACGTCGGTCGAGGTGATCTTCTACGAGACGGTGTCGCTGGAGGTGTAGAAGGTGAAGTATGGGCCAGCGTCGGGGCAAACGCAGGGGCACCCACCGACGGACACCTCGACGGCGACGATTCCGTTGCTCGCCGAAGTCGACGAGCCTGGTGATGAGGATGCTGTGGAGGTTCTTCCCCCTCACCTTGTTCTTGCTCCTCCGTTCCCCGCCACAGATCAGCCTGTGTCAGCACTTGTGTCGACCACCGACGATACGGGGAGCCTTGAGGCGTCGCCTGTGGCAACGGCCCATGGCATCGCCAGCGCTCGACAAGGCGCCCAGCTCGTCGACCTGGATGGGAAGCCGTCGACGATAGGGGAGCAGCAGACAGGGGAGCCGGTCGAACAGGAAGCAACAGCAGCGGTGCAGTCGACAGGGGAGCAGCAACCGGGGCGGTTGACAGGGGAGCTGTCGAAGTCAGCAGCACGCGAGCAGCTGGTCCAAGGGCCGAAGCAGCTGGTCGACGACGAGGACGTCGACAAGGAAGGGGAGCAGTCGGCGGGTGAGGAGTCCACCGACAGCGACGTGGTGGAAGTGCCGATCACGAAGCCTGAGCTACGATGCACAGGTCGAGCTCGACGGCCGCCGGAGCGGCTGAGCTTCCACGTCTGCCTACCACCAGCTGCCTTCACCACGGTGTACGACGAGGTCGACGACGACCTGTTGTACGACGACGCTGAGGAGGATGAAGACCTGCCGGAGCTCGACCCTGACGTGCATGCTGACCCCAAACACCGCTAGGACATCGCCACGATGACGGTGAAGTAGGCGCTGTCAAGCTGGAAGGGCGAGGCGGTGAAGGCCGCCATGGAAGAAGAGATCCGCAGCCTCATCGGTATGGGGACTTGGGAGCTGGTCGAACGCCCACGCGGGGTGAACATTATGAAGAATCGGTGGGTGCTGACGACCAAGTACCGCATTGACGATACCGTCGAGCTCGAGAAGGCGAGACTGGTCTTGAAGGACTTCACGCAGGTATATGGTGCCGACTACGACGAGACGTACTCACCGGTGAGCAGCTACGTCACGTTGAGGGTCTTCCTCAGCATCGTCGTCGTTCTCGACCTCAACCTGATGCAGCTCGACATGAAAAACGCTTTCCTGCAGAGCAAGCTCGACAGGGTGCTCTACATGTACCAGCCGGACTACTTCGACGACGAGACCGGCCGGGTGTGTAAGCTGCTGAAGAGCCTCTACGGGCTGAAGCAGTCGCCGCTGTTGTGGTACAGGGCTCTCGACAGTGTGCTGCTGGGCGCTGGCTAGATGAAGAGCCAGGTTGACGAGGCGCTCTACTTCAAGGCCGGCGACGACGGAGTGACCTGTTGGGTGCTGGTCTACGTCGACGACCTGCTCCCCGCCAGCAGCAGCACCGCGATGCTGAAGGAGCTGCTGGAGGCCGCCTTCAAGCTGCGTGAGATCTCGCCGGTGGTGAAGTACCTTGGGCTAGAGATCGTGCGCGGCAGGCCGGCCAGGAAGCTGTGGCTGCACCAGCAGGGCTACGCCGACAAGCTGCGCAGGCGCTTCATCGACGAGGAGCAGGGCGGTCGAGTCCCGAAGACGCCGGTCTCAGTCGACGCCTACACTCAGCTGACGTTTGACGACGAGGAGGCTCAAGAGCGCGAGGAGGAGGAGTACCAGCAGAAGGTTGGCTCGCTGCAGTTCGCGGCGACGACGACGAGGCTGGACATCGCGTTCGCCTACAGCAAGCTGGGGAGCGGCCTCACAGTGACGAGCGACCAGCATTGGCGCAAGGTCGACCGCTACCTCGCCTACCTTGCCGACACCCGCGACACCGCCCTGGAGTTCGGCGGTGGATCAGAATCGTTGGAGCTGATCGGCTACGTCGATGCCGACGACGCGGTCAACAAGCAGAACCGGACGAGCACGGGAGGCTTCGTGTTCGTCCACAGAGGGGCCGCCGTCTCCTTGTTGAGCTCGCGCATCAAGTGCGCGACATTGTCATCGACCGAGTTGGAGTACTTGGCGGCCACGGACGCCGGCAATGAGGGGCATCGACTTCGCTTCCTCCTTGCGGAATTCAAGCTGCTCGACGCTGGACAGCCAACCATCCTCCGCGTCGACAACAAGTCGGCAATCATGGTCGCTGAGGGCTTGGGGCTGACGGGCAACCTCAAGCACATGGACCGATGCTACGCCTGGCTGCAGCACATGGTGAGGCGCGGGAAGTTCGTGCTGAAGTACATCCCGACCACCGACCACTCGGCGGACTTCTTGAAGAAGGCGCTGCATTTTCCAACCTTCAACCAGTGCTCTGTCGCCATCGGCCAAGTTCGTCTGGCCAACATCGGCGACGGCGACGACGAGGTGCAGCAGTAGGTGCCGTGCCCTTCTGCACGGCTGGTGCGGTGACGGCGTGTTGTATGTGGGGCGCACGCCGAGGACGAGTTTTCTCCGTGGAGTACTGCCGTATGGGCTGGAGGCCCAAGCATGAGCGCGGCAGGGGAGTGTTAATAGGAGTGGAGGGTTTGCCCCGCCCTCGCTTGGGCAACGCAGACGACTTGGTCGGATGTACGGGAGTAGCAGCCGACCGTTCACAGTGGGAGAGTTACTCGACAGGCTTCGTCGAGCTGCAGGGGACCGCTGTGGTGTTGCTGTCGACCACGGAGCTCGACAGCTTCAACTAACTGGTCTGGGTGATGGGTGGGCCGTCGACCAGGAGGGGCAGTTCGACCGGGAGGTCGACGGAGCAATCCGTCGACATGCAAGTGAACAGCGGTCGACGAGGTGAGCTCGGCGACAACCGGTGACAGTTCTGGTCGACGGAAGGGGTCCGTCGACCAGGGGGTAGCTCCACAGGAGCTGTGGTCGACCAGGGGCACCTGTTGGTCGACTAGAGGGACCTGGTGGTTGACCAGAGGCAGTGGTGGTCGACTGGAAACACCTGGTAGTTGACCAGGTCAACCGAAGAACCTGCTCGACGAGTTCGGCGGAGGCACGCAAACGTCGTCGAGGTCGCGATGGCAAAGACGACTGCGGGCAGGTATTTCGAAGTCGATGTGGCTCGTCAGGCGCAGACAACAGCCGGCGGATGCCCAACAAGGCAAGTCGGGCCAATCGTCTGTGCGCACCTGCGAAAGTGCGCACTTCTGTGTTCTACGGGGCAACGCTGGACAGCCGCTCTGCTGCAGCGTTGGCACGCCGTCGACCTGCTCTGTTGGCAGGTCGCCTTTATGCAGTGCTTGCGCGGCTCCTCTCGCAACGCTGGCAGGCGGTCGACCAAGCTGTGCTGGCGGTCGACCAGGCTAGCTGCAGAGTCTCTAGGTTTCTGATGTAGTCATTCTTATCATTGTGAACTCAATCAATTCTGTAATTTCGACTTTGCCTAGTGAAAACTAATGACGATTTCTCCCGTGAATGTGCAAGCACTAAGGAACTAAGCAAAGCTACGATCACTCCTAGTAGTTTGTGCCAACCCCCGTGGTCTAGCTCACTACCATTGTAGAGTGATTCTCCGCGAGGAAGGAAGGGAGAGAGAGATGTATCGAGGGCGTAGACTAGGATGCAAATTAAGATGGAAGGGAGATCAAGGCGAAGTGTGAAGATTCTGTAAGAGGCAAAGGGAGGGAAAGGAATGGCGGCTATGGCGGGTGGGTGGGCGACGTATTGGGTTAGGTGGAATGGGGTGGGGCCGAACGGGGTGGGGCGGAGATGGTGCCTCCTAGGGCATCGTGACGCCCCCGACTCAGCTCGACAATGAGCTGGAGAATGCGGTGTTGTGGGGAGCTGTGGGATGGGGAGGCCAAGGATGGGGAAATGTAGGAAGGGGAGGAGAGGGATGCACAGAACAAGGGATGGGGATGCGTGGGCGGCGGGATGGGGATGCGTGGGCGACGGGATGGAGATGCGTGGGCAACGGGATGGGGATGTGTGGGCGAGCATGGCCGACGGGAGAGGAGTGAGTGTGTGCGACGGAGGGGATTGTGCGTGTGCGACAGAGGGGAATGAGTGAAGGCGACGAGTGGAAGTGAGCGTGAGCGACGGAAGGGAAGGGAGCGTGTGCGAATTACGAGCAATGAGAGTGGGCGGCAGAAAGGGAGTTAGCGTGGGCGACAGAAAAGGAGTTAGCGTGGGTGACGGGAAGGGAGTGTGCCACCGCGTTGGAGGGGAGTGAGCATGCTCTTTCGAGGGGAGTGCGCGCGGGCGACAGAAGGGGACTTAGGTAGAATGGGGCATGCGGTGAGGAGACGATACGGCCAGGCCATGACGCGACACGGAGGGGGTAAGAGGAGGAGACGGAGGAGAGGACAGCGGGGGAGGGAGGAGGATAGGGGGGAGAGCAGAGGACTAGGAGGGAGCAAACAGTTGAAGAAAGTGGAGGACAGGGGGGGGGAGGGAGCCAAGGACAGGGGGGAGAGAGGAGGACAGGGGGGAGAGAGGAGGACAGGGGGGAGAGAGGAGGACAGTGGCGAGAGAGGAGGACATGAGGGGACAAGCATCAAGGACACTGAGACGGCAAGCACTGAGGAATAGGTGGGATGCTTAGGATATACAGCGGACAAGCAGCAAGGAAATCGTGAAGGCAAGTGGGGGCTCCAAGGAGGGGAACCAGGGTGGGAAATGAGGGACACCAGGGGGGGAAGAGAGGGGTACCAAGGGCAGAAAAACGTGGGGACCTGGGGGGAAGAGGAGAAATGATGGGAAGGAGGGAAGGGAATGATGGGGTTGGAGGGAGCAAAGGAGGTGAAGGAAGGGGGGAAATGAGGGAGAGAGGGGGCCAAGGGATCGACGGAGATAGAAAGAGGGGAGAGAGGATGAGGGGGTGACGTGTATGGGGGACGTTGAGTGGACAGAGGGGGGCATCGCAATGTGCAAACAAGGGGGAAAAATGAGCGCACCCAAGGGGTGTAATTGAGGGCAAATAGGGCGGTATAGTGAGTGCACATAGGGGGGAAACAGAGTGCAGGCAACGGGGAAAGATGAGTGCAAAGTGGAGGTGAAGCCGAGTGCAAACAGGAGGCGATGGGAGGCGATGAGGCGGAGATGCGGCAGGCGGCAACGAGGGGCAGGCGAGGCGGCGACGTGGCGATGATGAGGCGGCGAGGCGACGATCTGGCGGAGATCTGGAGGCGTGGTGGCGATAGGGAGTCGAGGGGGGGAGGCGGCGATGTGACAGTGCGCCGATGACGAAGCAAAACGGCACCGGGGGTCGCACGTCCAGGGCGCGAAGTAACGCGGTCGCGCGTTCTGCGGGGAGGCGAGATGCCTATGAGGGATCACATGTGCCAGCTTGCGACACGGCTAAGGAAGCAACAAATGACGACGCGCCGTTCTCGTGGCGACGTCGCGATCTAGCCGCGACGTCCCGAAACGCATACGACGAGGCAGTCCTAAACCCGTTGAGAGACGGACACCTTGCTTTTGAACTATGGTTTGCGTGGCGCTCTGGTTAGATTCTTGGGTAGCGTAACGCGATATCTATGCTTCCAGTTTTTGCTAGGTTCTGTGAGGCTTATGCTTGTCAAATTGAGCATCTGGGATGGTTATCACTTGTTGGTTGTTGCGCCATTCGCTTGGTTTCGCCTATCAATGTGTATTCCCCAACTTTTGTTCCGCACGAAATTTATTGGCTTCGCAAGCCACTTTGAATTCCTCGCTCCAACTTTCCGTACCCACAAAACTTCGCTGTCGAATCAGCATCCCTCAAAGGGTGTACACTAACAATGCCCCCAAAAACCACCCGTAGGAAAGTGCACCCTTGCTTTAATCATCAGCCAATTGCCACGTCACTAATCACTAGGATAAAAATGCTTGTTTGTGTAGCGAGTGAGTGCTCCGATAACCCCCCAGGCCAACGAGTCTGTAACCCTTTCCTATGATCCATCGGGGATCTCCAGTGCACCTCCGACACCCCCCTCGCGTTAGGATGCCCGAAGTATACATTGGGAATCGAACCCGAGACTTTCGCTCTGATACCATGTCAGAATCCAGCCACTAATTACTGGGATTAAAATGCTTGTTTGTGTAGCGGGTGAGTGCGCCCATAACCCTCTCAGGCCAACGTGTATATAACTATTCCTTAGGATCAATCGGGGATCTCGAGTGCACCTGTGACACTCGGCATCAACCACCCTCAAAGACACATCCTGCATCAGAGCCCATCATCGACGTTGAGAAATTCTGGGCCAATCGACTTGCAACCCCTAGGGATCTCAGATGATCGAATTCCTCGCCTGGTAGAAAGGTCGCACCCCCATGGAAAACAGCTAGGTGCAGTTGGCTATATCGAAAATAGCCCTCTTTTTCAAGTGTATCTGCGAAGCCGGGGATTCCGCGTCACATTTGTACTCGTTTTGATGGATGAGCGGTGCGTGGTTTGGGAGAGATTTATAAATGTTACAATCCCAAGTGGGACTTAGCAAAGGATCACTCAGGGTTGATCGCAGAGTAGTGTTGCGCGGAAGTTTGAATCTCAGGTCAGAGTGAATGTAAATGACTGAGTTGATGATTGCATGCATACATCGGGTTTATATAAGAGTACAAGGGAATACGAACGGACCTAGACTAGCCATGTACTCTAAGGGGTACATTTCCTTATTGTAACTGAATTCAAAACCGTGCAGCGCGGGAACCCGTTCGAAGCCTGTTCCCGCCCCTTTTCACTTTGAATGTTTTCTGCTTGCATCGGTTGGTGCGTCGCTTCGGATCTTCTGACTCCTCAACCTCGTACCCGGTAGAGTCGGCTCCTGAAGCATACAGGAATGCCTTCTCTTAAAACTTCACATCGTAACACTCCCCTTCATTCCTGGGCGCGGGTGGAGCTGACTCGCTTGACTACTCCAGTGAGGTCAGAGCGGTGCTTGTACTGCTGACGTGGTAGGCGCTTGGTGAGGAAGTCTGCTCCCTGTTGAAAATAGAACGAGAATGAATGAACTATGAATGAAGTGAGTACAAATAGGAAACCCTAACTGGTTGTACCCCCTATGAGATACCCCACTACAGCCTACACAATAGTATAAGCTATATATATGTTCTGACACACCCCCATAGGCAAAGTGGGGGAGAACAAGGGGTCACAAGACCAGTCAAGCAAAGCAAAGCAAAGCTCAGGGTGGATCACAAAGTCACCACACAGTCCGAGCACAAGAGCAAGGCCAAAGGCCAGTTCACATGGAAGAGTACAGACATATATATAAAGCTAGACAAGCAAGAGCAGGTATATATATGTCACAGTACAAGTAAAGTCAAGAGGAGAGCAAGTGAGGCAAGACAGGCACAAGACCCAGCTGGGTGCAGAAGCGCTGATGGTCACAAGGCGCGAGTGCCTTGGTGAACACATCAGCAGTGTTGGCCTCAGAGGCCACGTACGCAAGCCGCAACTGTCCACGCTGCTGTAGCTCACGAGCAAGGAAGTAGCGAAGAGCAATGTGCTTCGTTCTGTGCTCCAGACGCTGCTCTCGACACAAGGCCAGCAAGGCCTTGTTGTCTACGTACAGCACTGGAGGAGAACGAGGCGGCTCTCCAAGGTCAGTCAGCAGGTAGGTGAGCCAGCGAAGCTCCTGTGCAGCCATGGCCCCTGCGTAGATCTCAGCCTCACAGCTGGAGCTTAGAACCGAAGACGAACGAGAAGCCCGCCACGAGACAGAGCCGGAACCAAGGCTGAAGGTGTAACCCTGTGACGACCGCTGCGTAGCCTGGTCGTCAGCCCAAGAAGCGTCCGCGTGACCTGTAAGGACCACCGGACTCCGCCCTCCAAGCACTAGCCCCATGCCCGACGTACTGCACAGGTAGCGCAATACCCTCTTCGCTGCAGCCATGTGCTCTAGTCGGTGTCTCCCAGGAGCAACATAGCGTGCAAGAATGCTCAGAGGGTATGCAAGGTCAGGTCGTGTGCAGGTCATCAGGTACATGAGGCAGCCAACAAGCTCTGGGTACGGGCCACTCGACTCTACGGACTCATCCGAAGGCAGAGCTGAGAGTGAGTGGCGGGTAGACAGAGGAGTGGCCTGAAGCGAGGAATACGTGAAGCCGAAGCGCTGAAGGACCTGCTGCACCATGTGTGACTGAGTCAAGGTAATGGTGCGGCGTGCTCTGTCCCGAGTGATCTGCAAGCCAAGGTAGCTGCGCAGTTCACCCAGGTCTGTGCACGTGTGTCTCTTCAGCAGCTCGGACTTCACGTAGGCGAGTCCAGCAGTGTCCGCTGTGGCAAAGACCAAGTCGTCGACGTACACGAGGATGTAGAACGGCGGCAGTGAAGTGTCGGTGCGCAGAAACAGCGACGGGTCAGCAGTAGAAGGAGCAAACCCAAGAGCCGCAAGCGTAGTCCTCAGTGTGTCGTGCCACTCACGCGGTGCCTGGTGGAGACCGTAGACTGGCCATCGGAGGCTCCACTGGGTGCCAGGAGGGAAAGTCCCAGTGAAGCCAGGTGGACGGCGCAGCCAGATCTCCTCGTGCAGGCTACCCTGCAAGAACGCAGTGCTGAAGTCGAGAGAGTGAAGCTCGTAGTCGCGCTGAGCGGCTATGTGCAGCAGCACCCGAAGAGTGGTCATCTTCAGGGTGGGAGAGAAGGTCTGAAAGTAGTCAACTCCCTGCCGCTAACTGAAGCCACGAGCGACGTACCGCGCCTTGAAGACAGGTGGAGAGCCCGGCGGCCGCTTCACCCTGAAGATCCACATGCCACTGACAATGTTCGCCCCAGGAGGGGGAACCGCGTCAACGTAGGTGCCTGTGGACTTCCAGGAAGCCATCTCTGCATCCATAGCTGCCTGCCACTGAGAGGAGTAGGGACCCTCTACGGCCTCCGCGAAAAAGCGCGGAGTCGGGATGTCTAGTGCATCCAGGTCTCCCTCAAGAGCAAGCAGTACAGACGCGAGATGAGGTGAAGCAGCAGCCAGACACTATAACTCCTCCTACCTATCCTCTAGGACGTCCGTGCCAAGAGCACACTCACCCCCGACGGACGGAGGACAGACAGACGCAGACTCAGCAACAAGACTAGCAGCGTAGTCTAGACGACAGCGAGCAGCAAAGTTGACGAGCTCAGCGACAAGAGCAGACGCAGCAGTGGACTCAAACGAGGGGTCAGTGACGACAGTAGCAAGCAGACGCGTGACAGTAGGACTGGCAGCACGAAGAGAGTCCGACTCTGGGTCGGCAAGCGCAGGAAGAGAGGACTCAGGAGGAGAAGGCAAAGGGGCACACAGAGGAGCAGTGGACGGACGCAGAGACATCCGGTGCGTGCCAGGGACAGGAGGAGGACGCTGACGCGAACCGCGACCACTAGTGCAAGCAGCACGAACAAGCGACGCAGGACGAGACGCAGGCTCACGACGCTCAGCAAGACCTCTAGTAGGACCAGTGTAAGGAGAGGGAGCAGGCAGTGGAGAGGAAGGCTCCAACAGTGACTGTGACTGGAGAGGCTGTGAACACTCTATCGGAGGAGAAAGACCAAGAACCTGCTGCAGGAGCGGAACGAAGTACGGTCGAGGCCGCGCGGCAGCTCCAGACTCAGCAGGGACAGCACCAGCACCCTCAGCGACAGCACCAGCGCCACCAACACCTCAAGCGGCAGGACCTCCAGCAGCACCAGCAGCAGAACCACCGCCGGGACAGACAGCAGTAGTCTCAGCAACAACACCCTCAGGAGCTCCTGCTCCAGGAGTACCCGCAGGCCCAGCAGCTCTGGGACCGGCGGCACCAGCACCCTCGACGGTCGAAGAAGCTCCAGCTCCAGCAGCACGCCTCCAGCGGCGAGCAAACCACTCGCGCAGCTCCTGTGGAGAGAGGGGCTCCCGCCGAGACGCAGCACCAGGAGAAACCCCAGGCTCAGCACCCCCAGACGCAGCACCCCCAGGCCCAGTAGCTCCAGACGCAGCACCCCCTAGCTCAGCAGCTCCAGGCACAGCACCCCCCGGCTCAACACTCCCAGGCTCAGCACCCTCCGCAGTAGCACCCCCAGGCTCGGCACCCCCGTGCACAGCATCCCCAGAGTCAGCACCCCCAGGCCCAGCACCCTCCGCAGTAGCACCCCCAGGCTCGGCACCCCGGCGCACAGCACCCCCAGAGTCAGCACCCCCAGGCTCAGCACCTGCAGCAGCACCAAAGTCACCAGTAACCTCGACCGGGTCAACTGCGTCTACCTGGGACACACCTGAGGGGGCAAGAACCTGAGGGGGGGGGGGGGTCTACCGGGGGGGGGAACCGGCACAAAGAAGTTCGGTGGTGGGGGAAGGGAAGGAGTGCGGTAGGGGAAGAGGCGGTAGAAGGGGACTGACTCGTCGAACGTGACGTCCTGGGAGGACAGAACACGACGAGAGGAGGGGTGGTAGAACTGCCACCCTGGAGCGTCAGGGGGGAAGCCAAGGAAGACACGGGGAGCAGCACCAGGGGACAGCTTGTCCGTAGACAAGTCGCGGACAAACGCCCGAGATCCCCAGACATGGAACGCAGACGCATCGCCGACCTTCCCCGTCCACTGTAAGACTGGGGACATCGCGGGCCGAGAGACCCTGGGGTGAAGGTTGAGCTGATGCGC